GTAACCTTTCCAACAGGCCTTTCAATGCAGAAAGAACCGGCACACGCAACATGCAAAATCCAGTGGATGTATTTGACCGGATGCCCTGAAATTCCGCAATTCCCTTTGAGATGGTGTATCAAGCAAAACCAGCCGTCACCTGGCTGCTGTGAATCAGAACAGTTCAATGACACTCATGCCAATTCGCCCAAGGTTTCCTTTCATCCACGCGTTGCTCAGTTTTCTCTTCTGGAAACAGGGTCTCATGTCACCACCAGGCAACCAATGGATTCGCCCGGTGCTTCAAAGACTTGTCAAGCAAACTCGCACAACCCCCATAAAGATTTGATATCTCGCACTAAATGGGAAAGGTTACGCATTGGTCATTTGGGGGCCAGGAATATTGAACAGCCCCAATGTAGGGAGGTCAAAGTACAGTGTTGCAACTGCAAACATGTAGTGATAGGTGACCTGCTAAGAGTGTTCATGGTGTTTGCCCAGATTGCCAACTACACCTCGAGCTCACGCCTTCCTAGTCGAGGGGGTTCCCTTCACAGTGTGAGTCCATCCCCACCCAGTGCTTGTAGTTGCCCCTCATGCGAATTTGGGGTTAGTCACAGAATGTTACCCAGGCTGCTACAGCATGGAGCCCGAAAAAACTTGGGGTCAGCCACGGGATGTTACCCAGGCGGCTGCAGCATGGAACCCAAAACAACCTTGTGAGGAATCTTCTTTGGACCACCTGTTGGGTTTGAGAACTTGCCCTGGAAGTAGACCCGCTTGCCGGAAACGCCCGGCTCTGCTCCGCGCCTGACCGCAGCTCCCTGGCGTACAGGAGTTCGAAACAGAGGCGGGCAGTTTGCGTGTCAAAAGAACACCAAGTCTTAGAAATAACCTAGGTCCTCCAGTAGAGGGGTTCGAATAAGGGTACCAACTTTGTTCTGTAGTCTTTTTAGTACCTTTTAGTAGGGGAACCCTCCCCCCAAAAAGGTTAAAAGGGCACTACTGAAGGACCTAGTAACTAGACGGCCAGCACTTGTGGTTTGCCCGAGACTCTCCTCCGAAAAACATCACACGCGCAGATTCCGCGCCTGCCAGTGTTTTAGCACCCGCGCCTGTTATTATCGAACGGTCTGCCCTTAGAACATCGGCAAGCCTTCGCCGATGCGCGCAACTGCGCAGGGTGCAGCTTTTCGATGGGTCACTATGTGCATTTGTTGGGACTACCCTAGGCTCAGCCAGAAGTTAGAAGGTGACAAGTGAAGCTCTCCACCTAAAGTGAGGGTTTGAGGGTAACAAAGCCAAACCCCTAAATGGGGGCTTGAGAGCAAGTGCAATAAACGGGTGGCTTGAGGGCAAGAAGACCTTGAAACCTGAACCCTAAACCTGAACCCTGAAGTGAGGGTTTGACGAGTTGAGGGCAAGTCAAAACAAACCCCAAGACTAAACCCTAAACAGGTGGGTTGGGGGCAAGAAAGCCCCTAAACCTCCAAACCTGAATTGGAGGGCAAGTTGAACCAAGACCAAACCCTAAATGTGTGGTTTGACAAAAGTTAAACCCTAAACCCGAACCCTAAATGGGGCAAGTTAAGCCAAAGGCGGAAAGAGACCAGAAAAGTGCAACAAAATGGTTCTGCACACGTGCTGCGGGTAACTAGAAACGGGGCATTTGGAGGTTTCGCAACGGGCAGAGTTGGGATACACTAGGCCCCTCACTTGACCTTGAAGTTTTCTCAGGCCTACTTTTCATAAATGTAGATCGACACGGCCAGCTGACCAAAATAAGCCAACACCTGCAACCCTGGTGGGAGTGGATCAAGATTCCGGGCGTTCATGGGTCACTTTTCCTATGTGGTTGAAATATCAAATCGTTATGGTAGGTTTTCCAACCAATGGTCATCCCATGTTTCTAGGGCAAGCTTTCCATTCTTTCCAGTGCTCCCCTGCAGGAAGCAGCTGATGGTTGACGTTGGAAGGGGAGCAACATGTCAAACCCTAGCATTTCCCACTAAACCTGCACAAAAAAGTATTCCCAACAACAACCATGCTTCCCAATGATCTGGGTGAATAAAAATATTTCACCAGCCTGAAACAAGGTGGTTGGGGGAGCTATTCCCCGCATAAACCACCGAGGTCGTTATAATTCACACTGGCCGGTGCGGCCTCCAGTTCCGCACGCCCAGGCGCCCAGTTGGCCCAGAGATCCGCAGCTCGCCCCACATCTCGGCACGCGCCTATAGGAGCCCCGAGCTGACCGTTTGCTCTCTTTCCTTTTTGGAAGGGGGGGGTTCGGGTTCGGGTTCGGGTTTAGGAGCGGCTCGGGTTCAGGTGCTTTTGTTCGGCTCGGGTTCAGGTTCAGGTTCGGGTTCGGCGGGGCTCTTTCTTTTCTTTTCTTTTTTGAAGGGAGGGTTCGGGTTCGGGTTTGGTGGGGCTCGTTTCTTTTCTTCTTTGACGGGGGGTGGGTTTGGGTTCGGGTTCGGGTTCGTGTTCGGGCTTCTTTCTTTTTTTGGGCGGGGGGGGGGGGGGGGGGGGTTGCGTTCACGTTCGGGTTCGGGTGGGGGTCGAGCAGCGCTGGCTCCACGCGCTCCGGCGCGTGGAGTCTTTTGGCTTCATGGCTGCCGAGTCAGTCTCGAGCAACCAAAGCTGCGTGAAAGGGGTGCTTTTGGTTGGGCTTGGCATCAAGAAAAACCGAAGAAAGCAAAATGCTTTGGGAGTTCCATGTTGTTGAAGAGAACACAAGCAACTCAGTCAATGCGCCTGGACAAGTAGGACTAGAAGCTGACAACAACCTGCGCGCTGCATATGCAGCGAGTCACGCTGGAGCTTCAGAGCTTCCAGCCCACCAAACGCCAATGGGCTCACCTGGCCCGTTCATCTCCAAAGCAACCATTCGATTTGAACACACGCAGGAAATGGTCCGGCGGCAATCAAACCGAAACCCCTTCTCGTCCCCCCCTTTTTGTGCTGACCAAGATAATTTCTGAGAACAAGCAGGAGCACACTCTCGGGCCGTGACATTTCCAGCCAAGCATGTTGGCCCTCGCTGCAACCGACATAAACTAATACTGTGCCGCCCGCGCCATCCAAAGTCCAACGTGGCAACCGTTCTGCAAAGAATCTGCAATTTTGGACCCCAAGTCCTTGGCTTCCTGTTGGCTGGAGGGTTCCTAGCTTACAAGCATTTCAAGTTGCAGCGGTTGGAGCCCAAGATGCATCACAGCGCACATAAAAGCTCACTGTGCTGTGCTTCTGATTCAAACACTTGCGCGCGCCGCAGGGCACCTGTATGTCCGCCAGGGCTCGGATCCGATGGCCCGGGGATTGTCCCCAGGGCCTGGGGGTTTTGCAGATCGATGTAGCGGCTACCAAACAACTCATTGTCTCAAGAAAAAGAATGTGTGGTGGATCGGTGGGCGGGCAATCAAGCGAATGAACTGCAATCACAGTGGCGCGCCATTGCGTCAGGCTTGAGGCAGCTGAATGCAGGGAGACTCTTGCTAGTTCCATACTTTTCCTTCGTGATTTTGTCAGGCATGAGAAGAATCCCCACCAGTCTGTCCATTTGCAGACGTTTCCCACAGTAAGCTTTTGTCCGGTTGCGGCAGCGACGAGCAGCAGCATGTTGCAGGAACATGTAGCTCAGCGCCGGCCTTAGGCAGTTTGGTCAACCACTGAGTGTATTTGACCCTGTTTCGCTGGCCGTTTAAAACCGCTAGCTGAGACACGCATCGGCCCCAGCAATTGCCTTCCTGCATTCTTGGCTCCTGTCGTAGGGATCACGCATGACAAGATGCGCACTCCAGCGCGGTCGCACTAAACAGCAACCGTTGTCGGGATGACAATGGGTGCTTGGCTGCAAAACGATGCGGTGACTATGATGCGTTGGCCCAAGGGATGGTTCAGAGCGACATTGAAAACAACCACACATAGATTCAGAACCCCAGTGGCCCGTGACTCAACGGCGGACCTTTTGGTTTGCTTTTAGAACCACAAACGATCCGGGGCTATGCAACTTGGGAAAAATAGCAACACAACTGCTGTTGAAGCTTATGTTTTTTTGGCAGTCCTCCTAGTATTAAACAAACAAAAGCCATGCACACATAACAAAAACACATCCCCGACAGCCTATTCCCTGTGCTTCCTCGACTATTCTTTAAATAGCCTCGACCATTTAAAAAACGAAAGGCTATAAAAGTAATGTCCCTCGACCATTAAAAGTAGGTCTAGACAAACTTGGCCAACTCGAGACCGCTGGCTCATGACATCCCCGCGCGCTTCTGTGCAGTGAGAGGTTGAAGAGCTAAGTATGTTTTACAGTCGCTTCATCCCGTTGTAATCACACGCCGCCACCATGCTGTGTCAATTTGGCTTGTCCCTCACATGCCCGTGCGTGCTTTTCCACTTCTTGTCCACAGCTCCACAGAGTCTGATTGCGTGTTGTTTGTTGATTGTTTAATCGATTTCGAAAGAAAATGAGGCGTGCACAAACCATGGACAAACCGTGGAAAGTACGTCTTTTAGCGTGGAAAGTACATTTAAAAGCGTGGAAAGTACGTTTAAAAGCGTGGACAACCATACCCGAGCCCACAACGCATGTCTGATCGGCAGCGATGCCCTGAAGCCACTAAGTTTGCAGCATTTTTCAAAAAAGCCGGGCTTCAGTACCAACATGCGAAGAATCTTTGCACGCCTCTACAGTAGGCGGGACACCTGGCGATTTTGAAAAGTGATGCGACCATACATTTGGCAAGCCGGGGAATGAGTGGCTTGGGCGCAGTCATTTGCAGCTGGGAGGATGAGGGCGGTGTGACTTTCAGTGACCTGACCCGAAGCAATTCTTGGGCAACAAAAAAACATGATTTTTTGGATATTCAGGGCCACGCGCCAAAAAACGGTCTTTCGGCAAAAAACAGTCTAGCGACCTCGACCATTCTTTTAATGGCCTTGGTATTGCGTTCCAGACAATGGCAGTAATCTACAAAGGGGTTCGGCTTCCTCAGGTTTGAGGGCCCGAGATTCGGGTTCAGGGCTTTAGCGGCAAGTGCCATTTCGCGGCAAACAGTGACTTCTTAATCGGCTTGCAAAAAACTTTTCACTGCAACGGGAACGGCCAGGCAAAAAACGCGGCAACAAAAACGGCAACGGCAACGGCAATTTTGGAAGTAATAATTGTGAAACTACTGCACTGGAGCTAATTCCGCAGTAGTTTGGCAGTAGTTTGGCAGTAGTTTGGAATTAACTACTGCAAGCCTACTGCGCTGGAGATAGTTTCGCAGTAGTTTGGCAGTAGTTTGGAATTAATTACTGCGAAACTACCGCACCTTGGCAAACAGCCACGGCAATTTCCTGTTAAAAAATATATAACTTTTCGCTGCAACGGCAACGGCAAAGGTAAAACAAAAACTGTGGACGGCCTCTATATGGAGAATGTTGGGCTTTGGGGCTAATGCCTCCACAAACACTTGGAACGCAATCTGAGGCGCGATTTTCAGGGGGATTATGTCACGTCTTGAGACTCCCCCCCAACCCTCCCGCTTATTTTCGTTCTGGTTCGGGTTCAGTGGTCATGGGGAGGGCTGCGCCCCCAAACCCCCCGCCTAGGGTTCGGCTTATTTCTTGGGGGAGAGGGGGGGTTCGGGTTCAGGTTCGGGTTCGGGCTCGGGTTTCTTTCTTTCTTTCTTTTTTTTGGGGGGAGGGGGTGCGGGGGTGGGTTCAGGTTCGGGTTCGGGTTCGGGTTTCTTTCTTTCTTTTTTTTGGGGGGAGGGTGTGCGGGGGTGGGTTCAGGTTCGGGTTCGGGTTCGGGTTTCTTTCTTTCTTTCTTTTTTTGGGGGGAGGGGGTGCGGGGGTGGGTTCAGGTTCGGGTTCGGGTTCGGGTTTCTTTCTTTCTTTCTTTTTTTTGGGGGGAGGGGGTGCGGGGGTGGGTTCAGGTTCGGGTTCGGGTTCGGGTTCGGGTTTCTTTCTTTCTTTCTTTTTTTGGGGGGAGGGGGTGCGGGGGTGGGTTCAGGTTCGGGTTCGGGTTCGGGTTTCTTTCTTTCTTTCTTTTTTTGGGGGGGAGGGGGTGCGGGGGTGGGTTCAGGTTCGGGTTCGGGTTCGGGTTTCTTTCTTTCTTTTCTTTTTTGGGGGGGAGGGGGTGCGGGGGTGGGTTCGGGTTCGGGTTCGGGTTCGGGTTCGGGTTCGGGTTCGGGTTCGGGGTTCGTTCTTTTTTGTTTTGTGGGGGGGGAGTTTGGGTTCGGGTTCGGGTTCGGGTACCTAATGTATAAAGGGGAGCCCTTCCCAAAACCAAGGAGAAAAGGGAGCCACGGGGCAACCGGGAATGAGCAACAAGTAGATGCTGCAATTTTGCGGGTACATAGTCACGTGGCCACATAATTGCATCGCATGTGATCTGGTGGCTTGATTTCAGGTGCCCAGCCAACAGCAACACCCATTCAATAAGAAGCCCAGTGGTACCATCCTGGCATTGAAAAAACCATGAAGTTCTAGAAGCTTGACCTCTCGCCACAGCCAAAGGACAGCCATTGTAGAGCAGAACTTTATTTTTTAACTTCAGCTTGTAAATGCTGGTTCCTTTGCTTATCTACTACAATGGCAGCAGCAGCTGGTTCCCTGTCGTGTTTTTGTGCCGGGGCCGGGTGCGGTGGCCGCGCCTCGTTCGGCGGCCTCCCTTTCGATGTGCGAGACCAGGCGGTGCACCTTGCCAGTGTCCACGCGGGCCCGCGGCCAAGGATCCGCCTCAGGTGTTTTTTGGCACCCCCCGAGGCAAATGGCCCCCCAAATGGCTGTGGCTCAAAAAACCGGCACCAACATGGAACCCTGGTAAGTGGAAACATAGACCGAAACCCTGTTTAATTTTGAGCCGGACCCAAATGACCATAGCTCACTTTCCCCATGTGGTTGAAATCTCAAATCGTTCTGGCGGGTTTTCCAACCAATCGTCATCCCATGTTTCTAGGGGCAGCTTCCAACCATTCTTTCCAATCCTTCTTTTCAGGAAACCATGAATACAAAACAAGGGGGAAGCAGCTGGTCTTTGAAAACAATGATGGTTGACGTTGGAAGGAGAGCAAATTCAGTGGGGATTTCCACTAAGCCACAATAACAAAAACAACCATGCCCCCCCCCCCTCGGGCCCAGGCCCATGATTTGTTGGGCCAAAGCACCAAACGGGCAGAAAAAACGGCTGAGAGCTCACACATCCAACCTGCAGGTGTTAGACTTGTTTGAGACATGGGTGGATCCCTCTTGGATGTCGGAAATTGGGCTAACCGTTGACTGTGATTTGTTCTTGGATGTGGCTTGCTTAGATACATTGATATCAAGCCAGAATGTAAAACTTGACTCCAGCTCCACTTGCCGAACTCATGAAAACTGTTTCTGAACAGTCAGCCAGTTAGCCGAATGGTCAGCCACTTAGCATCACACAGCATCACAAGCAAGGATCAGAGGGACACCCACACACACATGCACTCACACACACACACACTTTTCACAAACACTTTTCAGCAATGCAAGCTGACAGCAACCTCATGCCACAAACAACAGGACGGCAACAAACAATGCATCATATGTTCAGTCAGCAACAATGCCATGGCTGGTCAGGAAACTCGCAACACAAAACCCAACTCAACAGCCGAACTGGTGCCTTGCACAAAGAAGTGCTTAATGGAATCAATGGCAAGGTGAGGTCTTTCGGCTCAACTTCAGGCTGAGTCTCCTCTCTTGTCGCCTTCTTGAGGCTTTGCCTCGCGTTCTCCTTCTCTTCTGACTCCGAAGGTCGTGGCCTATCCTCAGTGGCCGCGTCTGCGGATGATTCGGCGCAATTAAGAAACTGCTCGCCGACAAAGTTGAACTTTACTCCAAAGGGTTCTAAACATATCCGTCATCTAAACCTTACAGTATTCCAAGCATCGTTCATCCATCACCACTCGGTGCTCATAGCTTGCGTAGACTATAGCAGCTACACTCATGGCTGATACGTTTGTGAATTCATGTTCTACCATGAAGCTCTGATAGTTCAATCAACCTCAGCGCTACCCTCCCTCCAACCATCATGAGGTGAACAGGGGCTTCCCCAAAAGGAAAGCAGGTTTCTCCTGTCCGCATTCCTCTGCCGCCCAAGCGCCTCCTGTGCCCAGGTTGCGCCAGGCGCGTCCTCCGGGTCGTTCTCGTGGGGCGCGCCCACGGTCGGCGTGGGCTGCGCTGGGCGGTTGCTCCAGAGCTCCGCAAGCGGCCAGGGGTCCCAGACAGGAGCTGGCGTGCCTGACAGAAAAACATGGCCGTTGGTCAAAATCCAAATCGTACCCCTTGTGAACATCCCAATCCCCACTAAAATAGACTAAAATGGGTGGTGAGCCTACCCCAAACTGGGATACCATTGGTTTTGACCCACAGCCACATGGGTGTGGCTCAAAATGAAACAGCTAGGACAGCTAGGGTTACTCGGGTTTTAGTCTTTGGTTCCATTTACCAAGGTGGCGTGTTGGTGCATTTTTTGAGCCACAGCCACATGCTTGTGGGAAACACGTTTGTGTGATTTCAGGGACAGTGGATTCTTAAACTGGGCCGTGTCAAAGGGTAATTACCCACCAGGAACCAACCAGTTTCTCTTGCTGGTGCTCAGGGAATGATGAATGCCCTCTAACCATCCCCTATGGTTTCCTTGAAGGGAATGTTCAGGTTCATTCCCTGTCGCATTCCCTGCTCGCAGCGACGCAGCGCTTCTCTGGACCGAATCCGGGATCCGCGCCGGATTGGCCGCCGTCGCCCCAGAACCGCCCCGCTCCAAAGCTGGGATCCATGGCACGGATCCAGCGGGGATCCGTGGGGCAGAAAGCAAGAAACTCAACTACTGGTGCTCAGGGAGCGACCCCCAATCATCCCTGGCTTGATTCTTTGGCAACGACAGTCAACCACAACTCAAGAATACCAAGACCAATCAGCCAAATTGGTACCCAGAGGTTCATTCCCTTATTCCCTACTGAGCAGCAGCAAGTCAACCCTGTTGACAATGACTTGTTTTGTTGTTGCGATAGGCAGGGAATGAGGGAATGAACCTAGGGATTCCTTGAAAGAAAAGCACGAGTTGGAAGGTTTATCTTGGTACCGAAATTGATTGGTTGGTGGGTTGAAGGATTGGTGATTGGTTTCGGTTTCTTGGATCAAACCACGACAAATAAATTGCAGGATTGATTTGGATTGGCTTGATTGGTTGGCTAGGCTTGGTTTGGTGGCGGGTTTCCTTGGTTAAGTATCACATAGGTTGCCGGAAGGCAACACAAATTTTGCCAAAATGCTGATTACAGAAGAGTACAGCTTGAACTTCCGCCGAGTGGAGGTATTGCGGGAATATCACTTGACAATATTGATACCGCAGTTCAAACTAAACAGGTCCAAGTGTGAATGTGTGACCCTCACTAAAACAAACACAGGCCTGGAAACATAGGTGTCCCTTTTCGGGGAAATAGATGGCCCTGGTAGATGATTAAACCACCAGGTAAACCAGGGCCATCGATTCTTCAACCAAAACAACCAAAAAGGACGCCTATAGCCTATGCCCGGAAACGTCTTCTCCAAAGAGAGGCTAAAGGGTCTGCACTGCTTATGCTCATGCGCCGCTGGTCCTACGGCTGGGGCCAGAAATCTGGCTGCATGGATCACGCTGCTTGACGAGAGACGGCGCATGCAAGAGACGGCCAAGTTGCGCCCTAATCAAAATCCGGTATTAAAATGGTCGTAATCCCAGAACTATGTAAAGAATTAAGAAGGCGGCCGCAGCTATAAATCCCTTACTAACCTTCATGTACCCGGGTTTTGAGGCCGTGCCACCATCCACTTGATCAACTGAAGCATGGCTGCATTGCGTCTCAAAGGAAGTCATGTCCTCCTGACTTTCATATGCTCAATGAGGATTCCCAGTACTGTGTCTGCTGACAAGTACCCTCTCAAAAAACAAGCGAACCTGGTCCAGTGGATTCATTTCAGGTTTTTCGTTTGCTTTTGGGAGGGCAAATCATCAAGTGGTCCCTTCCGTCTGTAACAGCTTTGCTGAGCAACACGAGGCTCCAAAAGCCAAACTTCCACTTAACCTGGATTTGTATCAAACATGGGGTGACCCATTTTTAATTGTTGTTTTCTTGATTTCCTTTGGGCCCAACAAATCAATGCGCAGCTCGTGACACGATTAACACCACGCCTGGCCAATTGCGGTGTTTGACACAGGGTCATGCACGAAAAGCAGGTGGGTGAAACTGCAGCTCACACGATAGCAGCACGAGGCTCATCAAGGAGGCATCACCAGTGTTGTTCGCGACAAAACACATTCTGGCTTGCAAGCTTCTAATTTGACATACTTGCTTGATACATGCTGCAATCGCTGCCTGGTTTGGGGTTGGGCCAACTATCTGGCAGAACCACCCGTCAAACAAACCAACATTCTGCTCCTGGCGCGCTGACCAAACTCAAAGCCCAGCCCGGCGCATGAGCCGAGGCAGTGCTGGTCTGTGCGACTCAGAAAAGGCTCTTGGAGCTGCGCATAAGCCTCAGGCAAAAAAAGGCTGTCGGATCATTAGCGAACAGGTACACAAAGCAAATGTACTGTGGATGGACGAAATCCGTTCGCACCACTTTGCAACCATGGAAAGCCATTGTTTGTTGGTAGTTGCAGGGGAATCGAGTCATTCCAGGGTTCCTTAGGTGGTGCAGGACGTCGTCCATCCACAGTATGTGTGTGTGTGTGCGAGTGTTCCAGTTCTGCTTTGCAATTCTTCAAGATGCAAATGGCTCACCCCATTCACGGGTGCTAAACTTGAAATAAACACATGACTGGGCGCCCTCGAATCCCCTGCTAACAGTTTAACTTTTAGTAGGTTACATGAAAATCCCCGCTAAACCCTAAAAGCTAAAAGGCTAAGGGCACCAAGATGACAAAGTGCCGGTTACAAACCACACGCAGCAATCCCTGCCCCTGCAATGCGCAAGATCCGCGTTTTGCAGACCTGCGTCCCAACCCGCAAGCTGAGGATTGGATTCCCACCCCGAAGACCGTCGGAAGTGCCGAGTGCGTTTCTTGATCGGCTGAAAAACGACCACAGACTTCCTTGCTCCTTGAAAACCTTGGCGATTGCCGAAGATCCGGCCCCATTTGAAAAAAGGCGTCCTTCCGCCGAAGAGGTCCCGAGCGAACATGGCTACGGAGGGATCATGGCAGTAGTGAAGTTGGAACACCCAAAATGGGTGGGTCCCTTTCATTTCTCTCTGATATATGCAACAATTGGGTGTGTCTTCTTTTGATGGTACCTTGTTTGATGCAGTTTTACGGGGAAACCAGCGGGAAACCACATCTTTCGGGGCTTCCCCTATTCAAAAAAAGGGGTGCCCTCCACAAAAACACACCCATGTAGCTTCAACTGTATGGGCACCTCTGGGGCATCCCGGCTTCCGGTTGGGCGAGCCACTGCAGAACTCTGCAGCGCTCTGCTCGGCCTGTCCGGAGGGGTCAGCTGCCGAAGCTGCGTGCTCACGCCCAGAATCTGCCCAGAATCCGTGGTGACTTTTAGGTGAGGACCTTTTTTCTGGGCATCCTTTTCATGAGCAGTTCGTGTCCATCAGCCGTTTCTGTAGGCGCTCCCTTCTTGATTTGATTCACCAACTGGAGAAAGAACAGCTGGCTGGCTGGTGGCTTGGTGGGTGTGAAAAGCAGTTCCCGGCGTTCTTTGCGTGCTGGCAAGTTGCCAGAACGTGAACACGCCTCCTAAGGGGAGCAATTGCTGGTACCTTCCGGGCTTTGCCACGCGCTATGCCTCTCTCCACCTGCCCCAAGCATGATACGCTGAGGCTCCGATTTCCACAGCCCTCCAATCAAGCATGCCAAGGCCACAACTGATTGACGCTAGAGTGCCCATGGTTTGCATGGTTCAGCCAATGTGAGCTGCAGCCAAAAGGGGGTGTTGGACCCTATTCTCCAATGCATATCCCTTGTTACGACCCTTTTGGTGGTAGCTCATGTGTTGCCAAACGGCAAACGCCTCCCCTCCCGCCGCCGCCTCCTGCTGGCGCTGATACTCCAAGATGGCCTCCTGTGCAGCTCCTGCCGCGGAGTTGTTTGGCACCAGTGATGGCTCACCCCACATCCCACAGATCTGCAGATGATCTGCTGGTTCCTTGCCGGGGAAATCATGTCTTTCTCCATCCTATTTAAGGTACCACAGCAGAAGGTTTAACCATCCGCACCAGCTAGCTACTTCTTCCGAGGCATAGTTCCGGTCCGACGTGGATGGTGTGTGATGTGTTGTTCATCAAATAAGACATTGGTCAGTCATGGCGAATTGCTACATGTCGATTGGGAAAACTAGGCGCACGCCCCTTGACGGCATGTGCTGAGTCACATGTGGCACCAATTCCAGGAGCAATAGAAACAGCACATGGTTCGAATCTCAGGGAATGGAAACTCCAGGCAATTCGGACTTTGAACATGATTTGCTTTTCCTTGGGACCCTGCAATTTAAGGTTCCATGTCTGTTGTCCTGGGAGAAGGATATACCAAAACGCGACTCGCCAAATTCATGACATGGGCAGCGCCCAAATCCCATCTCAATTCCGATTGCCAACATGGTCACAACAACCATGTAAGCCCTGCTATAACCTCCATGGGTCCGAATCAAACAACAACTATACCTGTGAACTTTTGGTTTGACACCTTTCTCTGATAGACTTAGCCTCGACTCAAACAACAACCTGTGATCTGATTGAAATAAAAGCTGACGGGCGCCGCCAAACCTCCGAACCTGGATCTTGGTTTTCGCCGCCTCCGCCCACATCCTCTGCCGGGCCTCTGCGCTTGGTGGCGGACAGGCTGCTGGACCTCGGATGCGTAAAAACAAATTCCCAACGGCCCCACGGTTCATGACACCCGCGGGGCATGGGGTCCCAAGCCTCGGGTTCTGAGGCCCTGTCTTGTGGGTTTTGTCGGGGGGCCCTTGTGTGCTTCCTTAGTTTGAGGAAAGGAAGTGAAGTGAAGCGAGATGGGGCCAACCTGCAACCCTTGCTGTTCAAGGGGAAGGGGGGCAAGACAACATAGGGCAACAGCTGCAATGAATGCCTGCTTTTGCCAGGGCGTCCAAATCTTGCAGTGGAAGAACATATGCTATTGCAGCCGCACGGGGCTTGTCTTGGCATTCTTTGTCCCCAGCAAACAATCATAGTGGCGCACAAGGGCACACACTACTGGAAAGGCATGTCGTCTGCCAGCCTTTTGCCTGCATATTGCCGAGATGTGCTTCTGGCTGATCTGAACCGTCTGTGTTCAAGCTTTGCCGCTCCCGAAGCTTCCGATTCTGCTTGAAGCTGGTGTCCCATGTCAGGCCAATTTGTCCTTTCCATCCAAACTTCAAGAAATGGATTGCTGCCTCTTCGCAGCAAAAAAAGGGGGAACACACAACGCAACACTTGCTGCCACTGCGAAAAGACCATGACGCTCGGGTCCCATATGATTTGGTGCGCACGCGACGAAATGGCTGTCAGGAAAGCCATGTCCAAGAGTTGCCCAAGAGCCCACGATGCCATGCCACCTCGCGAAAATGCAACCAACACAATCTTAGTGAAGATTATGCCGGACAAAAATGGTTGGGGGAATGGTGCCCAGGGTCCAACCGACACTTGAACAAATTTGTTGGGGACATGGTGCCCAGGGTCCAGCCAATTCCAATGCAACACAGGCCATTTTCAACACGACAAGCCTTGGGCGTCAGGTCCCAACTTGAGGGCAGAATTATGGGTGTCCCGCGGGCCGAATGGAAGTCATGACTGAGGCCGCGGCTTGCGGGTGGGAGTCCCAGTCGGCCGACCTGGATACCAACTCCCCGTCTTAAAACATCTTACACACATCCAATCCTCCCCCCCCCCCTCAAGGAGGGCTCGTATGACTTTAGAAGGGGTTCCCCCCCAAGGAGTGTTCTTACGACCTTAGAAGAAGTTCTTAGAAGGCCCTTCTGGAAGGGGGCTCCTACTGTCTCTCATGGACGAGGCCAGTGAGCTTGGCGCAGGCTGACGAAACACACGCGCCCCATGGTGGAATATGCACCAGAATCTGGGCCACGTGTCAGTAGAGGTATGCGCAAGTACTCAGTGTATATTGTATACATTGGGGAGCACCACTGCCAAGTGCTCTGTGAGCAGTCCAGGAAGTGATCAAGCCGGAATCACAAACACCTCAGCAAGCCCTTAGCTACCCTGACTGTCCTGACGGCGAAGCGTCGCAATCCCACCAGCCTTTTTTTTCACTGGGTGTGCTACCAAGTGACCCCTTTGTAGATCACTAAGTCCCGTGTGCACTCACTCAAACAACCATGCTCGCGTGACTGGGCTGACCAACAATGGAACCACTTCCGTGAGCTGTCTCACACGAAGCCTATTACAACTGCCCAATGCCAGCATCTGTTCCGCATCTCCATGCACCAACCAATATTGAACACGTTCAAGGGTCGTAATATGCAATAGTGATGTAATGCTCTTCCACGTGAAAAGTTGCCTTGTTCCCTGCCGCACATGAATGCACGCGGACTTTCGATTCAATGGGCGCACGCCTCTCGTGGATGCAAGGGCTGCCATGGAGTGTTAAACGGGCGCGGGGTCCTGGCACTTACATGCCCAGTCTGGCCTGTGGCCCTGGAAAAGCCAAAGTCAAAGGTTCACCAAGCTGTTTTGGCGCAGGGGTGTGGGTCAAAAATTGGAAAAATTGGTACACACAATGGAAGCCTGGTTGATGGAACCAAAGACGAAAACCTGCGGTCCAATTCCCGGTGGCTTGATTTTGACCCATACGCACATGGAATTCCAGGGAAACCCAACCCCCACTGGTCCACCCCAACCCCCAGGCCCTGCCATCGGACCTTTTCTCTCAGGTCCGAGCCGTGCGAGGAGGAGGGCCCTCCGGGCAGGGTGGGAGGCCTGAAGCACGACGCGGGCGCGAACTGCGCGCAGCTTTCAGGTCACGAGGCTGCTTGGAATTGAGTCTCTTGGGGTCCGCAAACTTGGCCATGAACGGCTTCCGCCTGCGCTTAAGCGTTCTCAGCTGACCTGGCCCCTTGCCGTGAATCTCCCGCTGATTTGGAATATGAGCCAAAATCAAAGGCACGCAAGTCTTGGAGGCATGTATATAATTTGAATGCCCAACGCGCGCGCGCGCGAAGAATCGCAAGGACATGGCGATGAATTTAATGGGGAACCCCTGAAAAGTGTGTGGTGGACAGAAATCCCTACCGAAATGATGTCCACCAAATGACCCCTAATTAGAATTCATAGCCTGTGTTTATCGAAGAGAGATCTGGAACTCTGAAGAAGCAACCGTGGCAGGAGCATCAAGTTGGCGAACCATACCCATGGCCCATGACAGGCCCTCACTTTCATACCACGACAGCTCAGGCCATGGAGCATGGCACAATCCTGGGCTACCCCGCGCAAAGTTTAACATTTAGTGGGTGAAATGGAAGCTACCACTAAACACTAAAATAATCTAAGCCGCTAAGGAACCGGATGGCTGGCTTCGCCACCAAGAATCCGATTTGGTGAGAGGGATGGGCACCAAACAACCGCCAATTGCCTTGGTCTCATGCTGGTTGGTTTTTCTCAAGCGGGCCAGCAAGGAGTCCTACCATGGTTTCTCTCATTGTCGCCGACAGTTCTTCTTGAGTGGGCGAGGAGGGCGGAAGTCTGGAAAGATCGCAGCCACCCCTCGGCTTCTTTCAGGAAATGAAACATTAATCAAGTTCTGCAGAAATTCAACGTAACCCATCCGCTTGTGCTTCATTTCAGAAAGCAACAGTTCATATGGTACCTGAATGTGAGCCAACTAACCTGGGCCATGCCACCAATGTTCTATTGAACCAAACTGCCCTTTCAAGAAGAACACCAACACTTTGGGTTGTTTCCACGTCTCACAACCCTTTCAGTAAAGCACCTAGGCCCCATTTGAGCTGTTTCCATGTTCTCTTACCTGGCACCTCCTTCAGCATTCCTTCCCACAGCTCCCCCTAAAACCTCCACCCCACCCCCGATGCGGCCCGCGCTTCGGCCGCCGCCGCTGGGCGTTCATGGCATTCCGCGCCGTGGCGATGTCCTCCAAGTTGGACCGGACCGGGGGGGTCAATGAGCCACGGAACAAGACTAAGAATCCACTCCGATACATCTTTTTTGGTTGGCTTTTTGCTTGAAAGCGAAGCCTTACCCCCAAAAAAAGGGGGAAACAAGCGGCGGAAGCCACCGGGCAGAGCAAACCTTTCGCGTGCTGCATATAAAACGAGCCGCGCCGCTCGGACAGCGCCGCCCGGAAGGCGACGGAGAGAAATTTCGGGTTGGCTACACGCGAGTGGCTAAAGGCGAGTGGGGGACATGGCGGTGGCGGTCAAAACCGTTGTGGTTGATCCCAGTTTGGGGTAGGTGCACTACCCATTTCAGCCTATTTTAGTGGGGATTGGGATGTTCGGGGGCTTTCGGTGATTTCACCACCCATTTTAGATAGCCGATTTTAGTGGTTGGATTGGGATGTTCACGGGGGCACGATTTGGATTGTGACCCATGGCCACATGAACATTCAACGCAATGCATTCATTCTTGAAGCGAGGGAGTGACAAACATCATGAAGCCCTGTTTCGTCATAAGCACAAGCGAACGGTGTTGATTCAGAAAGTGCAGGCAGTGCTACAACGCGTGAATTTGAAAGGAACAATTCACAACCGGAGAGACGGATTCAAACAAATACTGGAGTGATCAAGAATGATCAAGGAGTCAAGGACTTAACAAACACACACACACACACAAAAATACACACACAAATCACTCCTCGGTTGCTTTCTGCTCCCCTGCTAAAAGTTTAACTTTTAGTGGTTTAGTGGAAAACCCATTAGTTGGCAAAAAAAATCAAGTCCTCACAGCCAAGCAAAATACACACAAATCACTCAAAGGGAATGAGACCGCGGAAGTTGGACTCGACTGGCACAAGGCTTGGCTTCAAACAAGCCCGGACTCCGTGTCCAAACCGGCGCTTTTTTTCTCACCCCCTGACTCAAACCAAACTCTGCGTGCGAGGTATATTTGTCCTAAGTCTGAAAGCCTGCGATACCATGCGCAGCAAGCGAAAGACACAATGGTTGTAACGCAACAAGTCACAGGCGCAAACTAGGCTGTCACACAGGAACCCAACTTTGGGCTCTCGCCAAAACAACTTGTGCTCCTGACACGATGCCTCTCCACTGCATTCGGGTGCCCCTTGCGCGATCCACGGGACAACCCCCCTAGTCCTTGAAGCCCCATTCTTCCTGATACCAGGCGGGCGTGCTGCACGCGTCCCGAAACTCTATTTCCGTGCCACGGATTGAGTCAAAACTAGGCATTTGGGCCCAATGTTATTAATCCCCAAAAAGCTCCGCAGTTTTGACAACCCCAAATGAGCGAAGCAACGTTTATTCAGTGACAGTTCCTGCGACAGACTGGCAGTGACCGCAAAGAGAGAGTCGGTTTCTTGTAGTTACCCTGATGTCTCTGTGTTTGCAAGCCCCAGGAACCTGTGGCATTCCTAGACACCACAAATGTCAGCAAGTATGCGCGGAAAAACTCGGGAATCTGGGAGACATACTGTGGATGGACAAAATCCATTTCGCACCAGTTGGGATTGTGGTGGAATTATTCCATTATTCATCCAGTCTCATCTATCCAGTGAATTTTGTCCCACAGTATCACTCTTTTTAGGGGGACCCACGAAATGCTGCTCACTGGCTATGGGAACAAAAGGGCGTCCTTTTCTTGGTTGGTTGAGTTTAAAATTGGAACCCTTCCCAAAACAAGGGCGGAATCCGCTGGGCAACTTGGAAAGGGTGGGAGTCGTATATATATATATAGTTACATATACATATTTCTATGTACAGGTATACATATATATATATATGTATATACAATTATACATAGTGCGTACATAAATATGCACATATAATGGCATAGTATATATATATATCGATATACACGTAAACATATATATATATACACACGTATATATGTGCTACCAGATTGAAGTGTATATATGGTTCAACATGTTTCAATAAACAGTCCACTGCGAGGGCACTGGTGCTAACAGCCTGAGGGCGGAAAATCCAGCCTTGGCTTCGGCCACAGTCGCGAGGGAGCAAGGGCTTTCTGTGCAGAAAGGATACATGCAGTTCTTAGACAAATATGTGTAATCCTTGCTCATAGATAGCAACTATGTTTGAAAGAGGCTCATAGGTTCAATGACAACATTCTTTGTCTAGTCTGGTGTAACAACAATGTTGAGACGCATATTGCTCATTGCAAAGGCGTTTGTCGTGCGTTGATGAACATTCAGCGCTGAGCGTGCTATTTCAAAAGGCTAGTTAATGTGCTGGTCAAGACCCTCGCAGCACTCACGCAGGCTTCAAGCATACGACTCCAGCTCCCTTGTGGCTGGTTCCATGGCGAGCTGGTGACTGTAACCAAGCGCGCCAATGCTGCAGCTCTTGGGCTTTGCTTCAATTCAAGCATTCAGGTGCCTTGGTTTTTTTTTGGGGTGTTATTTTTTTTCTGAAGGACAGTGCTTTATTTTTCACAAAATGGCAGAACAGTTTTTCACCGGGCACCACCCCATGTCGCGCCTTCATGTGCTGAGCCCGGCTTCGAGGTCCTTGCAACGAATGGCGTGCAGGAACTTCTGCGAGAAAAAAACAACTCGGAAGGGTCAGCTAAAATCGGCAGCCTTCGATCGCCTCGATACTTGGCAAAACCTGAAACCAACTGCACAAAAGACGTTTCGAAGGCAATGGCATCATCTGCAGGGGCAAAGCAGTTTCCAGACGAGCCCAAAGGCCAGCTTCTTCAGCAAGTCAGCTTTGCCACCGAGGGTTGCCTTGCCGCAAAGACACTGGGACCGTTTTACTAGAGAATCCCGGGCTCATGGAAACGAGCCTTTTGGGAAGTTGTCCAAAGTAGTCGCAAGACTGATGTCATTCGGATCAAGTCTTGAAGAATAACATTGAGGGCGTCCCTTTCATGGAACCCGCGAGTTGTGCTTGATGCGCCGTCTGGCAGTCCTTGCAGTCTTGTGCACGCATCAAATATTCCCTAAAAGCGGAAAAGCGAAATACGTCTCTGTCTCTAAAAATGTGGAACCTCCTTTTGGAGAATTCAAAAAGGAAAGCCAAAAGGAATGCCAACCACCCAGGGTTCTGCTCCTTTTTGTCGCCTCCACGCACACAGGTGTCCTTTTGGCAAAATAGATGGGTTTCCCTGGCAAATGGAATGAAACCAATCTAAACCAGTGGAACCCATCTATTTCTAGTTAAACTCACCCAAAAAACGGACGCCTATGTCCGCGCGTCCGTCGACGCCTCGGGCGGTGTCCTTCCGCCTCTGTCATGGCCGACTCCGCCGTGGAGGAGAGCGATCTGGAGCGCCGCGGGCCTCACGGAGAACACGCCAGCAGAACTTAGTGTGCCTTAGCATAGGTGTCCTTTTAGGTTCTAGGGGTACCTTCCAACCATTCTTTGCAGGGATCCTTCTTTTCAGGAAACCATCAAAAACCCAGGGAAAACAGGCGGTTTTTGAAAAGAACGATGGTTGAAAAGAATGGGGAATCAACCCCTAGACTGGTAGAGAGAAAGAAAACAAAACAGGTAAACAAGGAATCGCCATCGAATTGTTCAGGCCAAAACAACCAAAAAGGACACCTATGTGCCTTAGTGCCTTGAGAGCGACCCTGATGCGACTCGACGCAAAGATGATGAACAATCTGAGAACCTGGGTCCTCCATCTTCGGAGTACTTTTCTGTTCTTCCGTTCTCCGCGTTGTTTGCAGGAGACACTCTGAAAACTAGGAGTTTCAGGTGTTTCAACTGCATGAATCAAAAGGAAGGTTTTTTTTTCTGTCCTAAAACCTAAAGAAAGTGGCTCAAACAAATGATGAATACGTGTAATTGATCAATGTCTCTCCCAAAACCTAGAGAAAGCGGATTCAACCTGAGCTCTTCGGGGCTGAAATGTCTGATCCCACCCATGGATCCTCACAGAATACGTTGCTATCTGCACGTTGCGAGAAGAGGGCCTTCACCTCATCCTTCAAGCTCCAGCCGAAAGCCAGCCCTCCAGCTGGCGAGTGAGCCATGCACAAAGCCTTCGAAGAACTCCATGCTTACTCCGATGGTTGTTGCCTTCATGAAGCTGAAATCTTAAAGAACCTAACCTTGGTCTTCCAGGGCCCTGAAAAAGCAGGTGCCCGTGGCCGACTTTCCTTTTTCGACCAGCCAAATCAAGAAGGGCCCGGTTTTTGCGGGGTTTTGGAAGGCCCAGGAAATGAAGTCCTTTTCGTTTTGCGATGATCCGGGAATTTCCAGGCAGCATCCTGTGGCCCCATGCAGGCGCTCAGATTTTTTTTTTTAAGTCGAGTGGTTCTTCGTTGCCTCTCCTTTTGTTTGACAACCCCCGGGCCAGCAGCTCTACACGGTGCCTTGGGACTGATGGTCCCTCATCTCCGCACCCTGGCCCACCTCCCTGGGAACCCTGCCCACGCCGGAGTCGGGGCGGCTGCTGCGCGGAGACGCCACACCTGGAGCCGGCGACTTTTGGCAGGGTGCAATTTTGTTGATCATCGCAATCATTGCAATCGTTGTATCACTGTTGGTTCTGCTGTTGTTCTCAACTTTCGATCCCACCAAAGGTCATACTTAGGAACTGGAGGTGGGTTTCAGATGTTGTTGGCTTTGATCTTGTCGTTTTTGATCATATCGCCCCGAGGCTTGAAACTCAGAAGCCAGTCTTGCCAAGCCAAATGCCCAAAAAAGCCGCTACATGCATGGGGCGACAACACCCTCGGCCCGACTGGCCATTGAATCTTAGATGCTTACCACTAACCCCAATTCACTACCGGCACTCAGGGGTTTGATGGGATGCCCATCCACTACATAATTTGCCACGATATCATTCAGGAGGAGTTAGGGTAGCTAAAGTGCGGCGTTGTTCCCCTGCGGGTGGGAGGTAGTGGAAACCATCTTAGATAGCACACGGCGCCTAATCCAGAACAACTGCGCGATTTAAGAATGTGATCTGCAGAAGAAAAAGAACAAGCCAGAAGCGAAGACGGTGCATCGTCCATCATCATCCGAGGCACCCAAGGAATTAATCAATCAGTGCAAATATGTTGTTTGTATATGTATATATAATGTTATATCATTGTTGAAGTGTACTATGTTATGTATTGGTGTTACCGTCAAGGCCTTTTACGTCAAAGGACTATGCCAGGAACCCAATGGAGCTTTCAGTCGCGAACCGAAACACTGGGTGAGGTCTCAACTATTTGCCCGGGTGCATGCTTCATACTTCCAAACCAGCACACGTATTTCTCATGAGGCCTCACCTCACCTCAGCTTTTGTCCATAAATAAGACTGTCATTTTGGGAGTTAGACCACATCTAGTAGAGCTTAAATGGGCAAATGTCGCGGCACCGCTTGCTACAATGATGTCACTAAAGCAGAAAATCTCAGCACGTGGCAACCAATGCCAGATCTGGTTTGTTTGGCAACCAGTGGCCCGTGCTGTTCGCTCATGCAAAAGCATTGGCCACTCTCACGGATGGCCCTTTTCGCATGACAAAGGTCTCAAGCGTGTCGTTACGCTTCTCAAAACCAGGTGGTGCAAGCAGATTCCCACAAACAGACAGAGCTGCCAGCATGTCCCCAATTCTTGTGCAGTCGTTGCGAACCCACATCTGCCCAACATCCAGCGGACATCATTCCCCAAATGGGTTCTATTACGCACACGGTTGTCCTTTGGCGCAAGCCGGAACCCGTCTATTTGATCTCGTGAGGGTCTGAATGTCCTCTCAAGTTTGCTGTACCCACCACGGCTCGCGCAGAACACCAAGGCTCCCTGACTGCCACAGTCGGCTTCTTCCACACGAGGCCCTGGACAGTGAGAGACGATGTGTCGACCCCTGACTAAAGGAATGCTCGCAAAAACAAAAAAACGGGAGCCCCGTTGGTGAATCTGCAAGTCGGGGTTGATTCAATCAGGGACATGACGATATTCAGAAAGGAAGCAAAGGCACTCTTCATGGATGAAGCAAAGACACTCTCTGTCACTCTCTCTCTCTCTCTCTCTCTCTCTTTCTCTCTCTCTCTCTCTCTCTCTCTGCAGTTTCACGATGAGCAATCTTTGTCTCACAAAATGCTCTGATGCAGAATCAAGGCATGAAACAATGATCCTGTCTCGCCCCCGGGGCAATCTGGATGAACGCCTGATAGACAAAGAGGAACCCGGCTTTCCACCAATCATGACCTTTGCTAGATACTTGTAATCTTCCAAAACCCTCAGGTGCACTTCCATGATTGTTTAACAAATGATAGCTTTGGTTTGTTTCACACCAAATCACTGGCGTTTGTGCGTTGGCATCGCCAACAGAAACTCTTCAACCTCAGAAGCTGCAAGGCCAAATTGTAGAAGAGTCACCCGCGAAACCGCGACAAAGAATA